CAAGACAGGAAGTCTCCTTTCACGTCTCTTAACATAGTTTTGAAAGTCCAAGCAAGCAAAAGATATGTCAAGAGAATTAAATAGGGTACTTCCAAATATGAAAGGAAGAAGTCAAATGATATGATCTGACATAGTAAAAACCCTAATGAGTCCACAAGAAAACATTTAGAACTTATAAACAAATGCATTAAAGGTACAGGATATGAAACCAACATTAATGAGTAATGTTATACCCCAATAATGAAATAACAAAAATGAAATTTTAAAAAGGCCATTTACAAAAACAATAAAGTATTTAAGATTGAAAGTAACCAAGAACCTGAGAGATATCTATAATGGAAACTAAAAACACTTCTCAAAGAAGTTGAAAAAGACAAAAAATGGGGAGATATTTCTTATCCAAGATTTGAAAGACTCAATATTGTTAACATGTCCATAATGCTGAGAGTAATCTGCAGATTCAATGCAGTATCTGTCCAACACCAATTACATACTAAACAAAAGGAGAAAAAATTCATAACTTTTGTATAGCATCACAAAAGACCCCAAATAGCTAACGTGTATACTATATTATAGTACACTATATATTATACTGTTAAAGCTACAGTAACCATAATAGCATATTACTAGCCTTAATTAAAACAGACATATAGATTGAAAAAGTATAAGAGAACGCAGAAATAAATGCAAGTGTGCATAATAAGTTGTTCTTCTACAAAAATCCCAAGAATACCTTTTGAGGAAAAGACAATTTTATTAAAATATGGTGCTAGGAAAACTGAACATCCATGTGCAGAAGAATAAAACTTATCTCTCACTACAAACAAAAATAGAATTCTAAACAGATTGAACACTTAAGAACAAATCCTGAAAGCATAGACTTACCAGAAGAAAATATAATCAAAATACTTCAGGACACTGACATGGATAGAATTTTTAAATAAAACCTCAAAAGCACAGGCAAAAGGACAAAAATAGACAAATGGGATTATATCAAACCAAAAAGCTTTTGCACAGCAAGCAGAGTGAATTACAACCCAGAGAATGGAAGAAAATATTTGCAAACTACACATCAAACAAGGAATTAATAACAAGAATATACAAGGAATTCAAAGAACTTTGCACTCAAAAAACAAATAATCTGATTTCAAAATGAACAAATGACCTGAATAAACAGTTTTGAAAAGAAGACAAATGACCAATAAGCATATGAAAAAATAAATATACTAATCACCAAAGGAATTAAAATCAAAGTCAAGATGATATACTATCTTACCACAGTTAGAAGGGCTACTATCAAAAAGTCAAAACAAAAACATAAAATGAAAATATTTTTTCCAAATTTGCTAGCAAAGAGGTAGAGAAAGGAGAACCCTAAAAAGCAAAACACTGTCAGTAGGATTATAGATTTGTATGGTCTATAAGGAAAGCAGTATGGAGGTTGTTTGAAAACTAAAAATAGATATAGTGTATAATCAAGCAATCTCACTCTAGGCTTATATGCAAAGGAAAAAAATCAGTAGATCATAAGGACATTTGCACTCCAATGTTTATTAACTATTCCCAATAACCAAGATATGGAATCAACCTGTGTCCATCAGCAAACAAATGGATAAGGAAAATGTAAAATAGGTACATAAAGTAGATACAGATTATATAGTTATAAATATGTGGAATACTATTCAGCCACTAAAAAGAATGGAATTCTGTCATTTGAAGTAAAAATGAGTGAGCCTGCATGATATATATCAGACGAATTAAGCTAGGCACAGATTAAAAAAAAAAACAAACACATATTTCAACTCATAACTAGAAATAAAAAATGAGTTATTGGTGCCAGTCAGCGGCATGGTGGTCAAGGCAGCTTGATCCTACATAACCAACTACACAATTGAGTCCCAGACCCAGTGACTTGAAAAATATGCTGGGCATATGGGCGAGCATTTCCTTTTTTTGGGAGAGGTTTTTGCTATAGGGCGCGTGCACTCGCCAGAAAGACAGAGATAGAGAGATAGAAAGCGAGAAATCACCCCCCAGGGGGGATGGCCACACCACAATTCCTTCTCCTCCATTCTCCTCTCGGGATCTTGGGCACGGACGCACACGCCCCCTGCGTGAGTTTTAAGCCACCAGGTAGGGGACGCAAACCGCGGTCGACTACGTGGGAGTCCAGCGACATAGCCATTACGCTAACTGCTGGTCCTGAGCATTTCCAAAATCCCAAAAGGAGGAATGAAGGAAAAGAAATTGCAAATGACTAGCCCCCATGCAGAGTATTGTTTAAATTTCTCTCTCTGTTCTTTCACTCTTTCTCCAGCATATGCCCTCAAACAAATTTAAATAAAAGATTAAAGAAAGTGAAATGAGCACATCAAGTGAAGATCTGAAAAGTGACTGATAGAGGGAGAACAAGCAAGGGGAAAACATTGGAGTGATGATTCATGGGGAAAAAAAACTGCAGATAGATAAGAGGGACAATTTTTAGTGTTATAAAATATAGCAGAATGAATACAATTAACAATAATTTACTGTATATCTGAAATAACTTAGAAAGAGGACATTGGATGTTTCCAGCAGAAAACAATGACAAACAGTTGAGAGGATGTATATAATATATAGATTTAATCATAACACACATAATCTTATAATGAAAAATCACATTGTACCCTACAATTATGTACAATACATTTATAGTTTTATCAACTGGACAAGGCAGAAATGTTCACATGTTGAAATATTCAGTTTGTAAGCTAAATAATGTGATTGAATGTAAAAGATAAAATGAAATTTAAAAAGTTAAAAAAATTAAAAAGAAAGAAAACAATTCCATTTATAACAGCATTAAAAAGAATAATATACTTGAGTATTAATTTAAACAAATAGGCCAAACATTCATAGTCTGAATAAAAAAAAAAAACTAATAAATGGGCATTCCCTCTTCATTGACTAAATGATAATATTGTTAATATGTCTGTACTATCTAAAATTATCTACAAATTCAATGCCATTCTTTAATTTTTAAGCAATATATTTTTTCCTATAGGGTGTGTGTGCTCACCTAAGAGACAGAGAGAGACATAGAGACAGAAAGCGAGGAATCACCCATCAGAGGAGATGGCCATGCTGCAATTCCCTCTCCTCCATTCTCCTTCCTCCATTCTCCTCCCATGATCTTGGTCATGCACACACATGCACCTGGTGTGAGTTTTTTTAATTCACTGTGTATGGGATTAGAACCATGGTCGACTATGTGGGAGTCCAGCGATGTAACCATTACATTGTCTGCTGATCCCTCTATGTCATTCTTATCAAAATCCCATCAATATTTTATAAATACAACTGGTCATTCTAAAATTGTAAGGAATCACAGTAAGTCAAAACAATCCTTAAAAAACGGAACAACTTGACATCTAAGACATCCTGTTTTTAAAACTTACTGCATAACCATAGTAATCAAAACAGTGAGAATACCTGTTGGTTCACATTAAAATTGGTTTAATCAAATTATCATGTACCATAAATATTTATTTAGTACTGATTGTTGAGAATGTAAACCAAAAGGTATTTTCACAGACCAGTGTGTTACAGGCATAAACACCAATACTAGAATAAAATAGCCTAGAAATATCTCACATATATGGTCAAATGATTTTCAACAAAGGTAACAAGACTATTCAGTAAGGAAAGGACAATAAGTTCTAAATTAGTATTGCAAAAATGGATGTCCACATGCAATATAATGAAGTTAAACCTTCAATTACACTGTTTATGACAATTAACTAAATGGATCAAGAGCCTAGCTAAAGCTTTAAAACTGTTTTCTTTTCTTTCTTTCTTTTTTTTTTATTTTTTTGAGAGGTTTTTGCCACAGGACGCATGCACTCACCAGAAAGACAGAGAGAGACAGAAAGACAGAAAGCGAGAAATCACCCCCTCAGGGGGGATGGCCATACTGCAATCCCTTCTCCTCTATTCTCCTCTTGGGATCTTGGGCACACATGCACACACGCCTGGTGTGAGTTTAAGTCACCCGGTCTGGGACTTGAACCACGATCAACTACTTGGGAGTCCAGTGACATAGCCATTACGCTAACTGCTGGCCCCAAAAGCTTTTAAATTCTTATAAGAAAATTAGAAGGACAGCATCATGACATTGGATTTGTTCAGTATGACACCGAAAGCATATGCAATAAAGAAAAAATAGATAAGCTAAACTTTATAAAAGTTAAAAACTTTTGGGATAAGATAAAATGAATTTGGAAAACTCTAAATATTTAAAAGAAGTTATAAATGGAGGCCAGCAGGTGGCATGTTGATTAAGACATTGGATTCCCACATGGCCAACCACTATCTGAGTTCTGGACTAGGCAGCTGAGAATCACATGGGTAACATGTGTGTGTGCATGTCCAAAATTCTGAGAGGAACATGGAGAAGGGATTGTGGTATGGCCTTCCCCCTCAGCCCAGGTAGTGAAAATAGTTTCTCACTTTCCCTCTGTTTGTTTCTCTCTGGCAAAAGCACATCCCCTATGGCCAAAACCTAAAGTAAAACAATTATAAATGAATCACAAGACAGAAAATAAAAACAATAATTATATACACTATAGTGAAAGAATTCATTTATTATATACTTATTCCTTCAACAGTATGGAAACAATTAGTGATTGAATAAAATAAAAGACATTATTAGACAATTCAAATAAATAAAAATCACACTGAAACATGTAAAAGATACTCAAAGTCACTTATACCTCCAAAGATTTCCATATGAGAACCCAATAATATGCAGTAAAAACATACAATGATTAATTGCAAATTAAAAATATACAATATGAAATAAAATAGCCTTAATTAAATTATTACATATTACAAATGTTTATCAAATACTAGCTGTTGAAAATGTGAACTAACAAGTATTTTCACAAATCATAGCTAGGTAGGAGTGTAGATGCTACAATGACAACAGTCATAGTATTTGACATAAAATCTGAGTAGCAACATTAAATATTTTTAACATTGACCACTGATTCAAATACACGTACTGATAATTTATCTCCCAGGAATACACACTTGTACACGCTTAAGAAGACATACACTTACTTCAAAATTAGTTTAATTTCCTTTATACATTCAATAACTCCACATCACTCAGCTTGTAAAGTGAATTCTCCTAACATGAATACACTTCACACCAGTCCAGAGGAGGATACTATACACGTTATCATCAATAGACAATAATCCATTTCTGTGTTTCATAAAGTCTTGCTTCAGAAAAAATGGAAAAATCACAAACACTGAATATATTATTTCTAGAGTATATTTATAAGGAAGTACATTTTATAAAACATGAAGAAAAGAGTATGGGTTAAATCTATTTGGACTAGTATGGAAAGATCTGCAAGACACTGCAAACTAAAATTCAAATTTCTTTGTTTTTATATAGAGAGATTTTTGCTATGGGATGTGTGTGTTCATGGGAAGGACAGAGTGAGATAGAGAAACAGAAAGTGAGAAATCAGCCCCCGGGGGGGGGGGGCGGGGGGGAAGGCCACGTCACAATCCCTTCTCCTTCACTCTCCTCTTGGAATCTTGTGCACACATGCACGCCTGCCCAGCATTAGTTTAAGCTACTGGGTCCGGGGCTTGAACCATGGTTGACTACATGGGAGTCTAGCAACATAACCATTATGCCATCTGATAGTCCCCAAATTCAAACTTTTATACATGGAGAAAGAGGATTATATGTATATTTAAACACACTTGCATTTGCAAAGACTACTTACTACCTAAAAATCTTAAGAAACAGATTTTATATATATGTATATATGCTGCCTCTGGGGAAGAACACTGAAAGACTATGCTCAGAGGTAAGTGAAAATTTTTAAAAATTCTATATCATTTTATATGGTTTTATTTTTATGATATGATATATATTTTGCTTTTAATTTTTATTTAAAACATAGAAGTATGACACAAAAAAATTTATATAATGCATGTTATATTGATAAAAACAAAACATTATATATTATAAATAGTATTACAAGAAGAACTTAAATGACAAAATTAATTAATTAAGAATGAAACCATATATCAGAAAAAAATTTAAAAAGATACATGAATTATTTGATTTACAAAGATTGGAACCAGCAGGTGGCAAAATGGTTAAGGCACTACATGCCAATATGGTCAATTGTGTCACAAATCATGGACGCGGCACCTTGAAATTTATGCCAGCTAGGTGGACATGCATGCCCCAAATCTCAAGATGAGAATGGAGGAGAAGAAATTATGCCATAGCCATCATCCCTGGGGAGTTGGGTGATTTCTCGCTTTCTGATTCTCTCTAGCGAGCACAGGTGAACTATAGCAAAAATCACTCAAAAAATTACAATTCGAAAATTTCTTCACTAATTAATTACATTATTGACTCCTTGTTATATATGCATTATATCGCTGAAACTAAAGTAAGAAACGAGTATTTCTGCAAGAAGAGAAACTTTTAATAGTATAATTGTGTAGTTCATTCTCTAATTCCAATCTTTATAACTATTTATAAACAAATTTAGGGATAAATCATTATGAACAATAAAAAAAATTGAAAAGTAAATTGGATAGAAATGCCTAATGGAATTTTATAATAATACTCAAAAACATAGGAAAATGTTAACAAAATAAAGATGGCATCAGATTTCAGAAAAGTTCTGGGTCCCAAGGAGAAAGGCCCTAATATCAATTGACTCTCTTCATGGTGGGTTAGTCATTAATCTGTTTCCTGACATGACTTTACCTAACCACAGCTTCTTCATAGCATTTTTCATCTCTAAATTTCTCAGTGTGTAGATTAGGGGGTTAAGCATTGGGGTTATAACTGTATAAAACACGCTCAATAACTTGTCAACTGGGAAGGTCTTAGCAGGTCGTGCATACATGAAACTGCAGGGAACAAAGAAAAAGACAACCACGGTGATATGGGAACCACAGGTCGAGAGGGCTTTTCTCCTCCCTTCCTGACTAAGGTTCTTTAGAGAATGCAAGATAACACCATAAGAGATGAGTAAAATCAGAAATACGATAGTACAAATCAGTCCTCCATTGGCCACTACTAGGAAACCAATGACATAGGTATCAGTACAGACAAGTTCCAATAAGGGATACATGTCACAGAAAAAGTGATCAATGATATTAGGGCCGCAGAAAGGAAGACCATAAATAGTGCTAAGCTGAACTACTGAGTGCAAAAATCCTCCAACCAAGGACACAACAAGCAACACAACACACACCTGTTGCCTCATGATAACCAAATAATGTAATGGCTTACAGATGGCCACGTAGCGGTCATAGGCCATCACCACCAGAATAAAGATCCCTGACCCACCAAAAAAGTGCTCTGTAAAGAGCTGAGCCATACAAGATTGAAAAGATATCGTATTTTCCCCAAAGAACAAGTCTGAAATCAATTTGGGGGAAATAGATGAGGAATAAATGATGTCCAAAAATGATAAGCTAGCAAGAAAGAAGTACATTGGTGAACCCAGGGTCCTACTCACTGTAACAGTCACAAAAATGAGCAAGTTGCCCACCATGGTCAAAATGTAGAAGAGCAGGAATATCACAAAAAGAACTTTCTGTTCTTCTGGATTCTGTGTGAGGCCCAAGAGGACAAAGAAAGTCACATTGTTTCTTGACTCCATCTATACTTTGTAAGTGCTAATGTCAGGTCCTCGAAGAACTTTACCTATAAAACAGAGGGGAAATACTTAAAATTTTCTTTAAGTTTATTTTCTAAGTATCATAGTCTTAACCTTTTATTTATTCAGTCAAACAAAAATTTGTTTAGACTACCTATAAATGTAATTTTTCATGGACTTTGGAATTTCCAAGTTGAAAAAAAAGTCAGTTTTTACACTCAGTGATTCATACCTGAGACAGATTCCACAATTACCGATTAATTAATGATGTGATTATGATGCATTCACATTATTTAAATGGTTCACAGTGCTAAAACATACAAATCATACTGATCACACAAGGCTTTTAAAGGAAGAAACGTCTTAGTTGAAATGTAAAGGGAAATAAAAATTAACTGCAAGAGAAATTACAAAGGCAGATCCATAGAAAGGTATATTATGTGAAAATTCACCAAAGTATAATTCTTGAGATGTCACTTGAAATAACTTATATTATCAGAGTGAAGACTAATTATTAATTGCTCTTTTGATATTATCACTCCCTGCTCAAAACCTCAACAAGGGTTTCTTTCTTTATATTCACTAAAAATCAATCTTCCTAACATGGTTTAGTAAATCCTCAGTGACTTAGATGCAGGCTGCCTCTCCTAATTCTTTTTTAAAATTTTTCCAAATTTATCCTGCTCAACATTGTTTACTATTCCTCAAATATAGAATGTCCTTTTCCATCTTCTTAGATTAACTCTACTTTATACATTGTTATTTCAGAGATTAGAAGCAATTTACGTCTAAAATTAAGGCAAATAAGTGGAAATGTACATCGTAAGTTTAATCTCTTACTTATTTGCTCAATTATTCAAAGTGTTCATGTGACAACATTATGTTAAAGATGACTCAGAGTCATTATAAAATATCCACTAAATCAATGAAACACAGTGTCTATACCAAGAGCCATATCACTAAAGAATTACTGACAATGACTGAGGAATTGCCGTTTCACCATTAGTTGCCTACTTTTCCAAACAGAAATATACTTCCTGAAGGAGCTACTCAGTTTACTCACAAATTTCTTTAATCTGGTCATGACACATATAAATACTGATGAGCAGCTTTCTAAATTTTCTTATTTCTCGGAGATCCTGAGCTTTCCTTGAGGAAGTCTCCATTGAGCTAATTGACTATTACATCTGAGTAACTGTCTCTCCTCTACCCTGAGAGCCTTAGAAACTTTCTATGAAATACAAAAATAAGAAATAGGCAGAGGCTGACCACAAGGGGAACTCTAGGGCAGACGTTCCAAGACCTCCCTTCCAGGCACAGATGTGTGCTCATGTTCTATGGCTGACACTAGATATGGATTACAACATAATGACTCTGTCAAGCTAACATATCTCTCTCTAGCTCTCTCTCTCAAAATTTTTCTGTATCTACTACTTATAGAATAAACAAATAATTAAATGTTTAAAAAGCTTTTTTTTACTGGTTTTTTACATAAACTATATAATTTATATGTATACAGAAATAGTTTATTTTTTTCAAAATATCTTAAAACTTTTTAGGTAATAATTTAAATACACAGATGATAGATTAAGTAGATAGGTGACAGAATGATAGATAAATAGATAGATATTCTTATCATAAAATATATTCTTATATTACAAAATTATTTTTTTCTAAAACCTTCTATAACATTTTAAAGTAGGTGCTAAACCTAAGGAATCATACCTGGAAAATTCTAAAATTAAATTTTCATAGTTACTGTTTGTGTAACTGTATTTTTGTGAATGTCTAATGAGCTAAAATATATGTAAACATATATATTTTGCATAAACAAATGGAAAAAGTATCTGAAGGTTTAACTTATGCATTGAGGATATATCATCAGTTTTTATACATCTGAAATGTAGAACAACAAGGAACTAAAATATTTTTAACTTATCAGTTCCATTTAAATAGATAAAAGAAATTTTGGTGAAAAAATACTGCTATTGCAAGAAAATCTATTATTTGTCATTCAAAATTGTGTCAATACTACACGCATTTACATATGTTATATGCAGATATATGTATATTTACACATAAATGTATATATATATAAAGATATTTAATGTACAACATTGAATCTTACCAGAATGAGTATAGTATCCCATTTTTTCTTTAGGAAAGGTGCTCAGAATATTTAATGTATTTTCCAAAGGTCATATATTTTTCAGTGAACAAAATACAATAAGAAACTTATTTTGATTGATTTTGAAGCTACTGTGATACCAAAAAAAGGTTTTTCAACTTTCATTTCTTACATTCTAATAATAAAAATTCCTATTCAGTAAAGAAACACACATATTGAAAAGTCTAATTTCCACTACTACCTGTTCCTATTTCACCTGTTTGAATCTTGTTCATCCTAAAAGAAAAACTTAACTTCTTCAAAAGTACCTGGAAAGGCCTCTTTTTTCCTGGTATAACCACAATAGGCAAAAAAACTCTATTATTCCTTGAAAATATACTTGATTTCACATGACCATGCATGAACATTTTCTTCACAGTGTCCCCTAATATTTGAGAAAATTGTTATTATTTGTGTTGTAGATCTATTTCAAAGAAATCCCATTATCCAAAATAAAAATAGAAATTTCCATCTTAGGGTTTATCAAACTAATATTTGAGAAAATTGTTATTATTTGTGTTGTAGATCTATTTCAAAGAAATCCCATTATCCAAAAAGAAAAATAGAAATTTCCATCTTAGGGTTTTTTATCAAAAAGAAAAACAAATCATATCTACATTAAAAAGTGGAAAGTAGCTATATTACTAGGAAAATTTTACTCTAGAAACCAACTTCATTTTATGAAACTTAAAAACAAATTACCACTCAGGCTTTTTGCCCTTCCTACTGATTTGTGTTAACAAGGCCAATCTAGTTCTACTCAGATTTTGAGAAGGCATTCTTGAAATATTTATTTTCTAAAATTACTGTGAGCTGTTACGTGAATACTGTCTTTACTAAGATAAGCAATGATCACTGGACATTTTATATCTTCTTCTGTTTTGAGGACAGCAAAGTGGTGATCCCTCTGTGACTTGGCCAGAGGCAGTAAAACTTGCCATCAGCAAGGGTAGTTTCTCCATTAACATGTATGTCCTGTGAGATCTGCGTCTGCCAAGGGTTCCTGGTGAATCAGACTAAAGTCTGTGACTCCAGCTCTTCCAAATATTTGATAAGATACTTAACTGCACATAATGAACCCTTTCTATTGAAACTAGCTACACAGGATATTCAGAAAGGAACTCAACATGTACCAAACAAACCAAAACATCTCCATCTCAAATTATCACCAAGAATAGAATATCACCAATTTCAGAAGCATTCAAGTTACTGTGTCCTTTTTATGAAAACAATTACTTTTTTATGCTCTTTTTAAGGTTTGTGCCATAGGATGTGTGTTTACACCAGAGAAAGACATAGAGAGAGAGAGAGAGAAAAAAAGTAAGAACTCACCTCCTGGGGCATGGCAATGCCACAACCCTTTCTTTTCCACTGTTCTCTTGGGATTTGGGGTACACATATACACATGCCCAGCATAATTTTCAAGCTGCCAGGTTGAGGTCTCGAACTGCAGTTGGCCAAGTGGGAGTATAGTGTCTTAAAGCACCACCTGCTGGCCCCATGAAAGCAATTACTCTTAAGAGAGTAAAGTAGAAATTGGTCCAAGAGTAAGTAGTAGTGTTTACAACTAATTGATCCAAGCCAATTACAGGTTCCTTTGTTCCTTCTCAATTGCATCACTTCAAAAAAAAAGATAGAGTGAAGTAGAAATACAGCCATTTATAAGAGGTCTTCAGAACTTCATGGAAAATGTGCATTATAAAAAAAGTTTAATTTTTTTTTTAAATTTTTTGGAGAGGTTTTCACTATAGAGCGTATGTGCTTGCCAGAAAGACAGAACAGTGAGATAATCACCCCCCACAGGGGATAGCCAGGCTGCAATCCCTTCTCCTTCACTCTCCTGGTATCTTGGGCATGTATGCACACACAACCAGCATGAGTTTCAAGGCACTGGGTCTGGGACTTGAACCATGGTTGGCCATGTGGGAGTCCAGCGACCTA